TCAGCAGGATTGGAAGTTTTAAGTGGGAAAGCAAAACATACACAAACTCAGCATTTAAAAAAAGAAGGGATTTTGCCGGACAGAGTTGTTCTCACTATGGGTCTTTGCTAGCTATTTTTGTTTTCCTTCTCTCAGTGCTTGCTGGTACTCTCAAAGATTACACACTACCCTCCCTGCATTCATGATTAATGATCTGCTCCTGCATTTCAGCTGTGTGAGCTCTCTGACTCTAGTGAGATCTACTAATGTCATCAGGGCTACAAATCAAATCCTAAGCTTTTAAGAAAAGTAAAATGACTGTATAAGTCCTGGTAAGGCTGAATTGTAAGCTGCTTGCCTGTGACAAGTGTAGTGATGAATTTCCAAAAGCAGAGTAGTTTAGCCCAAGTTCTCTGATACTCCTGTCATGGAGTTAACCTGGTTTTGTTTGTGTTAAAATTCTAGGCATGTGACACAAGCGGACCTCAAGAGCTCCAAGTTTTGGCTTCGAGCAAGTTTTGGTGCTGCCATCTTTGCAGTTTTGGGGTTTGCTATGTACAAAGCATTATCAAAGCAACGATGATCTGAGAAGAAGCACATCAGGCCCTACCAAATCAAAAAACTGACCCCTTTTATGTACATTCTGAATGCTTTAAATTCTGCTAGAAATATTTATATATGCAGAGTTACTTTATTAATATTTGTAATTCATGCATAAGATTATTTTAAATTATAGCTCTAACTACTGTATTGCATAATGCGTGGGAAAAAAATTGCATCTTAACAGCCAGCTAAAATGGCTTAACTTGTGAGGCCAAAAGGGAATTTGTTGTAAATAACCTTTACATATTAAAGCAGTAAGACATGGCTTCCCAAAAAGCTGTTCAAAATGCTGTTCTGAGATATCTCACCATGGTTACATACTAGTGTATAGCTGAAACTCATTCTTGGTAGAGTAGGTCCAACTCGAGGATCATCCTCCCTCAAGGATTGCTTATTTATTTCACATTCATCTGAAGTGACTTTGTCTTTTTGGACTATAAGCTATACCAGGCAGAATTGGTGATTTTCATTCTTATCTATTCTTTTTAACTGATGAACAAATTTCCCCAGAAGCTCTGTATTTCAAGAAGTCACTGTTGCAGTCATGGCCTACAATTTTGTATGTTAAATGCACAGTGACCTGTTTGGCAGTCTGGTGTTTCTTTTAGAAGGAAAAACATGAACTTCAAAAACTGCCAGATCAACTTCAATATGTTGTGTGTTATTTGTGTTTTTCATTTTCCACTACGTTGTGTTTTATAGCCATGATGAATCAGATGAGCAAGTTTGTATGTCATAAATGTTTATAATTCAAAGTGTCGCTGTTTAATTTCTCACATCTGTTAGTCATACCTGATGAAAAGGTATAAGTTGTGTATAAGATAAAACTAAAATAGTACACAGTGCCTATTCTACGATACAGTATTAGTTGCATGGATCACAGTGCATTCTGTAACTAGCTAGAATTACCTATAAACACAGCTTTTTTAATGGTCAAGTAAATAAAACATTAATTCCTCATGACAAACCTATTTTTCCATTGCTGGCCTTTTCACATATTTCAATAAAATAACTGTGTACTGCGTTTGTGTTTATCTTTTTCTAAAAGTTTTTGAGGAAACCAGAGCTAGTATTTTCCTGGAGAGATGCATATGCTGTTATTCACAATTTTGCCATTTTCCCTGTCAAAGTGATCATTAGAGACCTCCTCTGGATCCTCCTCCCACTAGGTAGCTGAAAAACTACAGAAATTGGATTCCCTATTCAGGAGAAGGTTCACATGAATGTTCTCCTAAGACTGAACACGGAATCTTGTTCTGTCAGCCTCTCTCTTTATCTCCTGTTGCAGCTCCCTCCCCATCTGGGCCTTCTGCTGATGGACTCACTCCAGTATGTCAGTGTCTGCCTTGTACTGGGAAGCCTGAAACGATGTGTCTCACAAGTGCCAGATACTGCATGTGACTGTGGATGGAGCATGTGGAAGGTTTGTCAGGTAGCTGAACAGCATTTCCTATTCTCTTTTTTTTTGTGAGATGTCTTCTGACATCCATCATACAGAAATAAATGTCAGTGTTTTGTAGAGCTTTTGAACTGATGACCTGAGCAAGCACTTCCCTGTCCATTAATTTTTGCAGTACTTTTCAGGAGCTTGTGGTGCCAGGCAGCTATGGCACGTGAAAGCTGAAAAGCTCACAGTGTGAGCTGGCACATTACTTGTTACGTGGCTGGTTTTGTTTAGGTACAATATACCTGCCTTGGTAGACAGAGACTAGATTGTCATAGAAAATAAGAAGGAAGACCACTGTGATAGTGTAACTTAATCTGCAGGGATCTTTTATTTCTCAATCTGGGTCTGTTGACCTTTTAGCATCAAAGCAAGCAGTGTGTCGTAGTTCCTTGTCTCTGTCCTGCCTGGTTCGCCAATAATGTTGTGGTTAGGCTAATAACAAAGAAACAGCCACATGGCTGCTCACTCAACTCCCCCATCCCAGCACATTCGGATGAGAACAAAGCTCATGGCTCAAAACAGGACAAGGAGGGTTCTTCACCGATTAAGGTAACGGGCAAAACATCTTCAACTTGGGGGGGGGGGGGGGATATCACTTCACACTAATCAGATGCACGCAGGAATACACACTGAGCAGGGCTCACACGTTACCCCACTCCTCCCTTCTCGGGCCCGAATCACCTGTTCCCAGTTTCTCTCCCTCCTCTCCCCAGCGGCACAGGGGGATAGGGTTTAAGAGTCAGTTCAGTCTGGTGGTTCCTGCTGCTCCGTCCTTCTCAGGGAGGATTCCTCAGTCCTGCCCTGCTCCCCACGGGCTCCCTCCCATGGCAGATGCTCCCCCAGCTCCTCCAGGAGCCCTTCCCCCCAGGAGCTGCCCCAGCGCTGCCCGCAGAGTCCCGGGCTGTTCGGGAACAGGCCCCTCCCCGGGCCCGGGGGCTTCCACAGCTGCAAGAGTCCACGGGCCATAAAATCCAAGATTACTGGCCAAGTTCCCCCTCCTGGAGCCTTCAGGGAATGTTCCACCACGTTCCTCCGTGGATGCAGGCGGACAGCCGCCAGCTCGCCATGGCTGCAGGGAAACTGCTGCTTGGGCACCTTCTTCTTCCTCACCAACCACCAGCACCGCTCTGCCTGTCCAGCTCGGCTCTTCTTTTGTCTTTAAGTGCTCGTTCTGCTCAGCTCTTGCCTCAGTTCTTTCGAATGTTAATGGCAGAGGCGCAGCGATTGTCCCTGTCATGGCTCGTGGGCTGGGTTTGGAGCAGGAGGAACTTCTGAGCTCGTTACAGGAGCCCTTCCCCCTCTACCAGAAATCCCGCCAAACCGGCACACGGGGAAGACTTGGTATTTACTTGCCTTGAGACCTTTGTTGTTTGTTTTCCTAACGGGAAATTCTAACTTCATTGATCTTAAAGCTGCTGATTATTCCCTTCCCCCAAATGCACTTCTGAAAGGCCATTTCAGGACTTAATTTCTCTCTAATTTATCTCAGCCTGCCCATGTACTGGTGCTCAAGTGTTTTTGAGAGGCTGATGGCCCTGCTGCACTGCCCGGGGTATCTCTCAGGTTGGAGTTCTGGGGAAAGTTTGCTATTTCAAACCACTCAGTGACTCCTGGCTCCAGAACACTTTTAATATCTGATACCACGCCCTGGATTTACAGCCACAATTCCCACTCACCTTCCACAAGTACCTTCTCACAGAAATCTGAAGTATTACAGAAACAATGGGCTCATCCTTTGTGCCAAGTGCTAGAGCTTGTAACCGCTGTTCCAGTGAGCTGCTTGTGTTTTGTCATGCAGTTTGTGAACCTCTCTGTGTTGAGCCTGCTGTGTTTTCCTGCGGGGAGACTGGTGTGTACACTCCTGATCTGCCCGGAGCAGTTGGGCTCCTTGGGACATGCCAGGAGTGCAGCGCTGCCTCCACCATGACTTGTGTGCGGGATGCACAGGAGTCAATGCTGTCTCCTGTGCCAGTCTGGAGAGAAGAGCCAGCAACCTTCTGGGAAAGTGTACAGAAGTCCTCCCCATCAAAAATGGGAGCAGGGTTTTATAGAATAAAGTGCTGTCATTTAACCATTAGCCATACCTCCAAAATCTCTCATTGGAGACTAACAGGAAAACAACAGAAAAATTCATGAAGGCCCAGTTCCCACCAAACTCTTTTGTTTATCTGTTTGTTATTACTTTATCTCTGCTTTTGGCCCTAGTTTTGGCTGGGCTGGGCTCTGTGTTCTTCAACACTGGAGAGCAGCTGGTGTTACGAACATCAGCTTGGCCTCTGTTTGTACCTTTCAAGGTTGCTACCAGCTCACAGTTTGTTAGGCCTTTTCATTTCTCATGGGAATATTTTGCTCCAGGCCTGGGCCTACAAAACTGAGAGACAAAAGCAGTTGAATCAGAGAGTAAAACTGAAGCAGGCACACTGAGAGATGGAGCATCCTGCTACACTGCTGGAGTGAATCCAGAGGAGGCCACGGAGATGAACAGAGGGGCTGGAGCAGCTTTGCTGTGAACACAGGCTGAGAGAGTTGGGGTGTTCAGCCTGGAGAAGGGTCCAGAGAGACTTTAGAGCACCTTCCAGTGCCTGAAGGGGTCCAGGAAAGCTGGGGAGGGACTTTGGAGAAGGACATGGACTTTACACTGGAAAAGTGAAGATATAGTTCAGACATTAGAAAGAAATCCTTCATTATGAGATTGATGAGAGCATGGCCCAGGCTGCCCGGAGAAGCTGTGGATGTCCCGTCCGTGGAAGCATTCAAGGCCAGGTTGGTTGGCGTTTGGAGCAACCTGGCCTGGTGGGAGGTGCCCCTGCCCATGCAGGGGTTGGAACCCGCCGGTCCGGTTGCTGTTCCCGGTAACGGGAGCAGCGGCCGCCAGGGGGCGCGGCCCGCGCTGAGCGGCCCGGGGGAAGGCGGGAGCCGGGCCCGGCTCTGCCCGCCCGTCTGAGGGGAGGGACGGGGCAGGGCACTGCTGCTTCTGTAAAGGGAGAGGAGTTGGCTTCGAGTGAAAGCTGGGAAGAGAACACAAGTCCTGGTATCTAGCTCTGCTGCGAGTCCGCCTGGGCGGGTGTTCTCTGAGGAAGTCGCTGTGCCTCCCAGGTAAGAGTTGCCGTGTGTCGCTGGCCCAGTCACCTGGATCCTGTGAGGACTGTGGTCACTGTGAGGGGAAGGTGTTCCCCTTAGGGAGCACATGAAGGAAGTCCAAAAGGTTGAGCGTTGCTGTTGAGGTCTGGCTGGTTGGGAGAAGGAGCAGCAGCCCAGACAACTCTGCTCACTCACACTTAACAGTAATTTGTTTTCTTTTCTCTCACCCTGTCCATTTCCTAACAATTTATTTAATTGTATGTTCCAAAACCAGACTCCTTCTCCTCCTGGTCAAGTCTGATGTGTGAATTGCTTGTCCATGATGTAAAATCACAGAGAGGACAAAGATCTTGATTCACCTTCCTTGGAGAAACATCCTTCACCCCTCAGCCTTGACCTCCTGTCTGAAAGCTTGTCAGTTCAGGATTAATTGTAAGCATGACTTGATTTTATGTTGGAAATTCACCTTGAGTTACTAATTGGTCTCCATTTCAAACAATTAAAAAAAAAAATTGAATGAACCTACCAAATGTGTGTTGTGATCCCATCAGGTAACAGTTCAAAAGGAGCAGAGATACCTCTTAAATTCTGTAGGGCTGACCTGGTAGGAGAGCTCCCTCTTAAGACAACCACCAAAAAAGGATTAATAGAGCCTTTAATTATTTCTCCAGCTACAACTAAGAAGTCAGTTAGAGCCAGCTGGTATCAGTAACAGCTACTGGGGCAGAAGAAAGCTGCAGGTAGAAAAAGTCTACTTTTTCAATGCCAGACTTGAAAAAGTTCTAAGTATCAAGTGGTGAATGGGGAGGGTCAGGAGGATAGTCCTTCAACACAGGTTAGAAATCAGAGAAGAGATTGGACCTTATTTTTTCCCACTCTTCCTTCTCTTCAGGAGTAGAACTATACATGAATCAGGGAGAATCTAAAAAGGCAGTACATACAGTTTAATTCATATGGATCCTAAAAGATGAGCTCATTTTGTCCCAGCCACAAGGAATATTATTGACAGTGAAAGAGCCCTTTGCCACTGTTGCCTTTTGGACACTGTTTAAACCCCAGTCTCCTACCATCTGTGATTCTGAAAGACTTTTTGCCATTTTCATGCGTCTGAAGGGGTTAATGCAATTGCTCTGATCCAGTCCTAACTTTGTATGTGCTAGCTAATGCCTTGCCAGGGTTGTGTTTGGGTGCAGTGGTTTTTTGGCTTCTGATCCAAAACACTGCATTTTGCTTCAGATGTTGCCTTCCTGGGCTGGCTGAGCTCCAGTGCAGTGACCAATATGGGTTGGTTGCTCCATTTGGTTCCAGTTATGAGAAATGTGCAGTTTTGTAAAAGCCTTTTTGGGCTACTTTGGGTGGAAAAGACTCATCAGCAAACTTGATTTGCTTTGATTTGCTTCAGGAGGCTTAGCTAACAGATGCCAGCTTTTTATTTCATATTCATGAGCTGGCCTTCTTAGCCCCTGCCAGTGCAGGAAGGACACATGTCCACATGTTGTTTGCAGAGTTAGACATGTAAAAGGTTGCCTACGTGACCACATGTGAAAATGGATTGAGGTTTATGATTTGAAGTTCTTTCTCTCTTAAGTTTCTTCTGAAGCCCTTCTATATTCTGTCTGCATCTGCTCTGTGGTGGCCCACAGCTCCCTAGTTTCTCTGGCAGTTACTCTTTTCCAAGGTAGAGTCACCAGGGTATGCAGTGAGGAGAAATGAGAGTCTAAGTTAAGAGGCTCTCACAGACTTGGAAGATGATAATTTGTCTGTAACAAAACTCCTCATTAGAATACTGTTAATTTCCTTTCTGTGACAATTATAGCACAGCACTAGCTCATATGTGCAATGTGCAGAGATATTTCCCTGAGAAAAAAAGCTATCATTACCACAAGTGGAAATCATTCTTCAGCAGAGAAAAATGAACTTCTAATTTTGCAACAGTTTTCCAGTTTAGTGGGAGTTGGGTGTTAAGGTAAAGTTTTGGGGATTGTTTATTGCATTTATGTTAGGCTTCCTGGTTAGCATTTTCCTGCTAGCATCTGGAATCAGAGATGATACAGAGCTCTTGACACGGCAGTCCCCAACTGTGTGGAACCTGTTACCCCTGAAATTCAGCTAATTTGTTCTCTCTTTGTTTAAAAAAAACAACTCTCCTCCCTCTTCCCTACAGACATCTTTAAATGATTGCTGTTTCTTTTTGCTTATCCATCTGTTTTGAAGTTTTGACGAGGTTTGTTGTTGTTGGTTTTTTTTAATCAAAAGAAATGGTTCTTATAATAGCTGTTTAGTGCCTGCAATGCTTTGGCAGGGGTGGTGTTGTATAAGTGAAGTGGGTTAGTGCTTCTCAAAAGTGCTGCTTTTGATAGCCTGTTCTTACACTGTGGGAGAGCAGGCTGGACAGGCTTTAGACAAGCAAGAAGTGGGTGCTGTGCTGAGGAACCACCTTTAAACTGAAGGAGATCTGTGCTGTTTAACTGATGATGGCAGTTTTGCTCATTAAGGGGTGAGGAGCCCTCTTGTTCATCAGTTTGCACTAGAGACCCCTGGAGAGCTTTTATTTTGTTGTCATTTTCCCACCTGAATCCCAAGGTAGGAAAGTTCTGCTCTTCAGAGCAACCCCAAAGCTCCTGGATTTATTTCTCTCTCCTACTGGCTTTAAAAGTTTAGCCAGAATCCTCAAAATCCCAGAAGGGCCATTTCTTTTAAAAATACTCACTGGGTAGGATTGTGCTCAGCTGGGCTCAGAACCAGGAGCAGAGGGAAGTTTTTTTACCTTAGCACTCCTTGAAGAGAACAAATTCCTTTCTAATAGTTGTTCAGGATGGGTCATCTGTACTACAGGACAAGGTTATCATCTTAACTCTTTCATTTGTTCCCAAAATTTGGATAATTTGCAGGATTGAGTTCTCCTGCTGGTTTTGCCAAAGGATGAGAGCAGGTGACAGAGGTGATCCTTCCCTTTACTTGCCCTTGCTCAGTTGTGGGGGATATTTTAGCCCTTGGCCCTGACCTGAAATTGGTGCCAGCCGTGCAGGGTGCTCAGATGTGGAAACCTGCTGCTCCCTGGTGGCTGTAGGTAGATGTAGCTCATGTGGGTACATGGGAAGGATGTGGGACATTTCCCCTTTTCCTGTAGAAAAATCTTTTAGTAGCCAAGAAGCCAGGACCCAGCGGCTCATTGCACGGGCCCGTGGGGTTTCCTGTCACTGTGTGGTACAAACTTGATCCAGATGAAACTTGATTCGGTTCATGACTGCTGTGGATGGGAGAGATGGTCTCGATGTTCCACTACTCTTGGATGGAAGATCCCATTCCTGTTCCAGAGGTACTCTCATCTGCTTTTTTTTTTTTTTTGGCTGTTTGTTTTTTAAATGTGTAGAGAAAAGAGGGACTTCTACCTTGCCTCTGTTCTTGGACCCTCTGGGCTCTGTCTAGCTCTGGCAGTCGGTGCAGCAGACAGCAGAGGCACTGGCACTGTGTGGATCAGCCTGGCTCTGCTTGCCCTTCCCCCTCGCCAACCTGCTATTTCTGTACTTGATTGGGAGAAGCTAAAACTGCTGGATTTTTGCCTTCAGTCAAGACACTCCTCAAGTTCCTAATCCAGGCTCCAGATGGTTAAGATACCCATCTTGGCACGTAGGGACAAGCAATTATGGTAAAGAATTTAAAACCCCACACCAACCCCGAATTGTGAGACTCTCTGGGACGGAGAAGTTCGCTTCAGAAAGCCCAAACCACCCGGCATGTCCTGCCACCTGCCCGCACCTGAGAGCGGGATGGCGGGGGGCGAGGACAGAGGAAAGGATCCCCGCTGGGTCGCTGCGGGGGAGGCGGTGCCCGAGCGGGTCGCGCCGCCTCCCCC